AGTTGCAAGCTCCCTAAAGCCATCGTGGAAGCGATGGCTTTGCACTCGCCCGTTGCTCCCCTGCAGTGCAATGCCTGCGTGCTCGTTGTTGATTTTGTTCTTGGGGGGGTGGGAGCGGAGGAAACTCAAGTTTCATTGCGGGGAAGAGAGCTGATGGACTCGGCAAGTAATTCACTGCCTCAAATGTAACATTTTTAGGCCCTATGGACCACCTCAAAAATACGGTGTCTGTAGCAGATCACCCTTATGCATGGCATTACAGATATGTAAAAATATCTTGTCTCTGAATAAATAATGTCAAGTGTATACGATTGAGATTACCTTTGTAAATGGAATCCTGCTTTGTGTGGTATCGTACTGAAATCTTTCATCTTATTGTACCTTAAGTAAAGGTTTTCAGTAGGTTTAACTGTACCCTTGGCAATGTTAGCAAGATATCAGCTGGAATCCAGTAAATGGTAGGAAGAATAAATACTGTTCTTTGACCAAGCTCTCAAATACAGCACCCTGTGGGGGTATCCTACTGCAGTGGATCTTGTTCTGGTGGATTCAGTGAATCCTTTAACTTTCCTCTCTGCTGTCTCCCAAACCTTGTCTTCTAGGATTGGCAAAGAAAAAGCCTGTCTCAGGATCCTGTCAAGTAAGGTGCCTTGATGTCCTACATGTTAGCCGACTGAATCCTTGCCAGGCTTGGTCATGCAACAGCACTCCTGTTTCCTGATAAAGTGAGTTAACTGACTGCTTACTGGAGGAACAAACCCATAGAAATACTATTCCTCCCTGTCTTGAGCTAAGTTGCAGCCTTGCTGAGTGAGGTAAACTCGCTGATAGTGAGCATTTGGTGCCCTTTAGACCTCAGAGGGTTTGTGGCTGATCAGTAGCTTTGAAAACTAGGCTATAACATGCATGTTGATGCAGTGTCTCTCTCTCTCAAAAGTGCGTGTATTTCTGTATTAATCTTACTTATCTACCATAATCATCCACTACTATATATGTTAATGCAGTCCGTTACATGGTAATGGATAGTTTAGAAGTAATCTATCCATTGTTATTAGCTTTCACGTCTGCAGTAGATTAATGCACTTGCTGTGCATGTTTGCTGCTTGGTTCTAGTTTTTATATATAAATATATATATGATGTATGTATACACATGTGTATTGTTTTAGTACTTTTCTGGGGGAAATTCCAGACTACGTGCCTCTCAACACGTTGGTGCAGACATCTTTATTTTTTGTTTTAATTGCAAATTCCCTGCTGGATTTATAAACCCATCTGCCAGAAAACAGACTTTGCATCTGGTTATCTGCTATTGACATTCTACTTGGCACATCCATGCAACCTACAGCCTCTGCCTTCTAAGGGAAGTCTCCTGGCACAGACTTTTCAAAGGCGATGGGAGTAATTTGCAAGCGAAATTTCAAGCTTCAGTGATGAAAAGCATCCATGCTGGAGGCCTAATAATGTATTTAAAATGTCTGGCTGCATACCCTGGATTACAGGGTTAGGTAATACAGCTACTTTTAAATGTAGTAGCTGACTTTTTCAGTTGTATGTGACTGACTAAATTTTCAAGGGAAAATGTCGCAGGGACGTTGAGGAACGGAGATGTTTGTTTAAAGCAGTGCATGCTGGAAAAGTCCAACACTTTGCGTGAAGAAGCCATAAAGAATTGGTTTGTTTGGGTAGGGTTTCTTACCTCTTTTTGGTTTTTTAAAGGCATGGATAAAACTTTTCTCCATGAAGCTTTTAGTATACAGTTCTGCTGATGTCTCCCCATGCTGTGACACATAGTGTTAACCAAGCACGTGTTCTATGTATCATCATCCATGCTTGAACATGATTTTATAAACTGAAAGTGCCATAAAGCAAGTCCAGCAAGAGTTTATGGCAGCATATTTGCAGTGAAAAATTAGGGGGGACTTGAATGTAGGAGGAATGAACTTGTTGCTCTTCTGCGTACCCACAAACCAGGTGTATCGCAGCAGCTGCTTCATCCTGGCTGACATGCATGTTCTGAGTGATGCTGGGCTTATGGCTCAGAGCAGTCGCACAGGTCGCTGGGTGTCATGCACACACATTTCCTCACAGCCCTCGTCTCCATATGGAGATGATCTACATTGCTTGCATGCATGTGCTGAACAGCCATGCTCAGATCCATCTGCTCTGACCTGTTTCTGCTCTCATCACAGGATCCCACGTATAAGCATGTTCAGGCACTGCTAATGTCTGTTTTAGATCTATCCTTGCCCTTTAATTGTTGCTTTGTGTTTGATATAAACTTCTAATAGCAAGACCAATTACGCACTGGGAAAGCCAGAGGAAAAAGCAGTCAATTCACCGGCACTTGCATGTAGATCCTCGGCTGCTGTGCATTGCTACAGCTCCCTTGCAGAGCAATGACAATCCACACCAGCTGGCTGTTTACCCTTTGAAGTGTTTAAATTGGGATCGGATGCCTTTCTGAAGGAGGTGTTCATCCCTACGAATACAGAGCTGGTACAAAGTTCATTATTGCGGTAGATGAGATACCCTTCCTGCCACCCTGGCACAGTAATTGCTGGATGAAACTCCATGGCTTGTGCTGCACCAGGAGCCAAACTAGATGATCTTTGTGGCCTTTTTCCCCCCTACCCTTAAAAGGACTGGGAGGGCACTATCCCTACTGCATGTGCTGTTGCTGGATGCCATCTGACACTGTCCGCTCTGGCTCAGCAAGATTGCTTCCCTTCCTAGCTTCCAGCCTGTCCTGCAGCTGTAACCCTTCGTCATACCACACCTGTCAATGATACCCAGCCTGTTTGGTCTGGAAAGGACCCCCAAAGGGCTGTTGACTTTGTTGACTGGGAAGCCAAGAAGTCCTGTGAAGTAAACTGCGATTGAACCCTTTCTCTCTGGACTGTAGCAAGCACTTAATGCGTTCGTTCCTCCTGTCGATTCTGCTCCCCTGGACTGAAGTTGTGGTTCCCTTTCTACAACTTATACTTGGAGGAGTCAGCGGGGCCTGTGAGTTGACAGCTGGGGTGCAAGGATGCTGCTCGCACTGCAGGGACAGTAGCAATGCTGAAAATGAGTGCAGGCAGGAGCTGGTTGTGCACTTTGGAAAAGTTGTTCACAGCCCCTCCAGCTTTTGACTGCTGGCAATCCAAGGAGGTCACCATGCAGGTAAGGTGCCCAGGGTGCCTGTGGTACAGCAATTCATCCAGGAAAGGACAACATATCTCTGGTGTGGTACGAGGACCCCCTTCTTGAAGGAATGTCTGCATGGAGATTGCCGCATGTTCCTGTGGACAGCTTATCCAACAAAACTAAGTGGCAAATCTGCAGAAGTGGGTTTTAATGCTCAGTGAAACCACACGCTTGCCTCGCTGGTGTGTAGAGCAGCACTTAGCTGCTTGCTGTTGTGCTGTCTGGCTTCCTCGTTGTTTTGGTTCTTTACGTGCAGGGTTTGTGGAAACCCTGCATTTAGCTGATGGCTCTGCTGTGCCTTACTGTGATTACCACTGAAATGAAGTTTCCTCTGGGCAATTTTGAGTGTTCATCAGTGGAGGTGCCAAAACTTCTGGCAGTCTTCCATTGCCTTTGCTGGCTTTGTTCTTCTTTGCCGTTGTGGACTTGGCCTCAAGGATCACATCTTGGGTTTCAGTGCTGAGAGGTGGGGGTGCTACTGCACTGACACCGGGTTGGTGCTGTGCAGTGTTGTCAGACAGGAGGGGGACTGAAACATGGTCCTCAATGGCTGCGTCGCCATGGTGGGAGAGCTAGTCTTCAAATGCACTTTGCAGAACGTGAGATCTCTGGAATAACAGTGTGTGAGCCTGGATTTTCCATCACGTCCTTTCTGCCCAGTTCACATGATAATTTGTCAACCATTTGGAAAGCACATTGGGCACTTGTTTGTTTTTTCTTGTAGGACAATGTGGTATGAAGAAAGGAACGGAGGGCAGAGAGCCAGGGATATGGGTACTTGTTTATTTGCAGCCAGCTGGGCTGTCACCCAATGCATGTGGCAGGACCCACAGTCCATCTGTACATCTTGCACCTGCTTGAGGAACCAGCCGGGTCCTCCGTTTGAGCAGGAAGTTAGGTCTGCGCAGTTGGTGCAGGTTGCAGTTGCATGCCAGGATTATCTCTGCACATTGCCACAGCTCCTGTCACCTTTGCTTGGGGAGTCTCAGTTGAGCTGTGTCCTCTAAAGGACAACTAAATTGCTCTGCAGATGTGGCTATAGAGTGTCCAAGCATCCATAGCTCCCTCCGTTATTCCCTAAATACACAGAGAGGGAAGGGGAGGTTACCTGTGTACAAGGGCCATTTTTTTTGTTTATTGAGACATTCAACAAGTCCTCTTCACAACCATCACTGCTTCTGCTAATGATGACCCTCTTGCCTCTGACTGTCCAGGAGGACTTTGGGATTGCCTTCCCTGAGCTCCAGCTGATTTGGTGCCAGGCTTGGAGAACTGCTTATGCAATACTTCAGTAAAACACTTGAGCCCATACTTCAGCTAGAGAAGATGCACTGGTTTTATAAAAAAAAGGGGGGAAGAAAAGTGATTTGATGAAATTTGCATTGAATTTTGCATGTATATTTGTGTTGGATTTATATTTGGCTTGGGGAGACTTTGCAGCACTTTAGCTAAATCTGGGTTTAAATCCACTTAAGTTAAACTCCCTATACAACTTGTGTGTGGAGACCAGGATGAAATCTCATTAATTTTAATAGGATTAAGCATGTTCTTTTGCCAAGTCGTCTTCTCTATCTTTCTTTGTTTGGCTTCTCTGTATTAAAAAGCAGGATAAACCTTTCCACTCTCCCATCTCTTTGTGAAAATGCTGTGACAGTCTCAGAGAAGTGGCTCTCTGGTTGCATACAGTAATATTTTACACTTTTTTTTTTCCCTATGCTTTCAGCTGTAGTCCTACTGTATCCAGGCTTTTATTGGCTTTTGCTTCCCCTAAAGGTGCGATAATTTCTGACAGCAAGAAAACAGTTACAAGTGTTTGCCTGGTAAGTTTCTACACTCAAAATTATTTTTTTCTTTTGCTCCCTCTGGACTGATTTGAAACTGCTATGAAACAAGTCCACTACTAGAGAGAATTTTTGTAGAAGTCAGCAG